CACCCCACAGACCACTTCCAACCCACAGACCACCTCCAACCTACAGACAACCTCCAACCTACAGACAACCTCCAACCCACAGACCACCTCCAACCTACAGACCACCTCCAACCTACAGACCACCTCCAAACCACAGGCCACCCCCAAACCACAGACCACTTCCAAAGACCTGCAGCATCATCTTGCTGCAGATGGTGTCACTGTGCATCGTTCAACAATAAAACGCACTTTGCACCAGGAGAAGCTGGATGTGAGAGAAATGCAACAGAAAGCTTTTCTGCAAGAACGTCACAAACAGAATCGCTTGAGATTTGCAAAAGCACATTTGGACAAACCAGCTTCATTCTGGAATAAAGTCCTGTGGACTGATCAAACAAAGATTAAGTTTTAGTCATAAAAAAGGTGTTATGAATGGTGGCAAAAAAAACACAGCGTTCCAAGAAAAACACTTTCTACCTACTGTAGAATATGGTGGAGGATCCATCATGCTTTGGGGCTGCGTTAAAGTTGTTAAAGTTGTTAAAGTTGAGGGTCGCATGGATTCCACTCAATATTAGCAGATTATTGAGAATAATGTTCAAGAATCAGTTAGGAAGTTGAATTTATGCCGGGTATGAATATTTCATTAAGAAAATGGTCCAAATCTACTCAGGCATTCATGCAGAGGAATGGCCATCCTAATCCCCACACCTCCCCCACATATCATTGAACATCTGTGGGATGATGTGGAGCAGGCTGTCCATGCTCAGCCACCATCAAAACTATCTGAACTGGAATCGCTTTGCCATGAAGAACGGTCAAAAATCCCTTCATCTAGGATCCAGGAACTCATTCAAAGCAGCAGGAAGCCACTAGAGGCTGTTGGTTTTGCAAAAGGAGGATCTACTAAATATCAATGTATCTTTTTTGCTGAGGTGCCCATTTTTTTTCACCTGTTGCACATTTGCAAATTTTCAATTAGTCCAATAAACCTCAATTCAGTACTAAAATAATCAGTATTAGTCCATCAGTCATTAGATATATCGAGCTGAAATAGCTGTTGCAAACACCCAAATATTATAAATAAAAAAAATTAAGATTAATAGGGGTGCCCAAACTTTTTCATATGACTGTATCAGTCGTTGTACCTGGGGTGATTCTAGGACTGGAGGTTTAGGGGGGCTAAGCACCCAGAGAACTGTCTGGCTAGACAAGATTAATTTCACTGTTACACACATGTTCTAAACTTGTTCAGTGCGTTTTGCTACTGACTGACTCCATCATTCACTAATGCATTGGATCTGAGACATGAGCCAAAAACACAACAAGCAAAGCAAAAAGCAGCATTGTTTAAAAGAATATTCCAACCATTAAAGCTTTTAAATCCACTAATTTCATAGAAACCTTTGAATCAGTTTTTGTGAAATTAGTTTTCTGTTTTTGTGCCAAAATTACTTCCATGATAAATGTAAAATAATCTATTAAATGAATGTTTTTCTTTGCCAGTTTAACAACTACTGCTATTCTGTCTGTTTTCCTACATGCTTTTTCCTGACCTTTCACTTTGCACTCACCTAGCTCCTCCGCTCCCCCCTTACGCCTCTCCCTCTAAGGACAGGCAATCAGAAAACGGAAAAAAGAATACAAAAAACAGGAAACAGGAACAAAATATAATTATTTACTACTGATTCAGTGAACTGAAATATTGATATTAATTTGCGGTTTTAAAGATAATCCAAAAAAACGCCTCAGAGACATTAGAGCACCTCGCTGGTAAACATTTCACCAACAGACACAGAAATCTGACTGAGCATTTCAGAAACACCTGAATGCAGCGTTTTCCTCACAGCGTTGCTCAACATTTTAGTTGAGGAGCTCCATCAGAGTTGTTTTTTTGTTTTTTTGTTTATTATTATTTCTGATTAACCGGAACATAATTGAAGGGGTTAAATAACCAAATGCTGTATAGTTTTTATAATGTCAGTCTTTTTTTTTTTGGTTTGTTTTTTATTCTATAAAGAGCATACAGGGCTGCTTCAGCAGCCCCAAAAATAGGCTAAAAAGGCCTATGCTTTGTACTAAAATATTCTTTCTGTTATGATTGGTGGACATTAAGATCTAAAAAGAAGCATCAAATCCTGGTCAGACTGTAATTCAGGAAGTATATTCCAGAGGGGATCACTGCAGTGGCTGGAAGTTGGGAGTTGAAGGGAAGTGGGCTGCCATTCGGCTTTTTGCCATTCGGCATTTTGAATGGCTGCTACTGTGAATGTTTGGCAATGACCCAGTCACACATTAACTAGCTTTCTGAATTATTTAATCTAAAGTCTCACTTTAAAAACTGATCTAGAAATAAATAAATGTTTCTCAAAATAATATTTGCCATTTAATATGATTTATTTTTTTTTTTCAGTTTTTGTCTGAATCTTAGTAGGGATACAGAGGAAGGGAGGACTCAGACCCATGACGTCACATTTTGGTCAAATAAGGAAGATTTCAATGTGAAAAGTCAAACAGTTCAGCCCAGTAATAAAGAATGAAGTCTGGACACTTCAGATCCCTTGATTGCAAATTAAATGCAGTAATGGTGACCAAATGATTCCCTTCTGTTATTATCTTAATGAATGTGGAAAGGTCCGGATTTTGAAATAGATACAGTATTTAGCTCAAAATGCTGTCCCTTCCACTAGTTGATACTGGATCAGTTGTTCTATTATCTCACTAACTACAGCTTCACTAACGGCCATATTGGGATCTGCTCTAGTTTTGGTAGAATCTTTTCTCCTAAGCTTTTACATTTGTCTATTTAATTGATTTATTTATAACAGAAGTTTCTTTCTCTCGTTATTGTGAAGCTGGTTTAGAATTATTACTTGATATCCTAAAATTTTACAAAAGTTTTGCATGTTTTCTTTGCATTCATAGCATTTGGTATCCATCTTATACCTTTACTCTCTTTCACTGATGTTTGGTGTTGCTGCATTCACAAGGTGCTCTGACTCACTGCTCCCATTTTATCACATTTATTCACATGTATTTCTGGCTGGCTAAGCAGAGTTATATTCTGATATCTCTAATAGAGAGAGATATCAGTGATAGCATGACAGTTATTGTTTAATAATGTGACTCAGTGGGAATAGAAATCATCCTGGAATGTGAACTTCAGCTTCCTCCTGTCTTATACTAATGATCACCTGAGCCAGGGGGGATTTATCATTAGGCCAGGGCCTAGGGTCCAAAGTTCCTGGGGGCCCCATAAAACCCAGTTTACATGTATGGTTAATACAGCTATTAATTATGCCATCAGAACACTTATAATATTGTGTGTCCCAGCCCCCCCCCCTTCAGTGTCCACCATATTGGATCAGAGAGGAAAACAAGAAGAAAAGGGACAAGAAGAGAGGGACACAACCTAGAACAGATAATGGATGTCTATTCTATTAACATTTCTCTATCTGGATAATGGGGCTTTTTTATGTGTTGTCTTCTCAATTCAGACGGGCCCCTGCCTGTCTTTGCCGAGGGCCCCACATTTCCTAAATCCGCCCCTGACCTGAGCACAGCGCTGATCACAAATGGAATTAAAAAGGATCATATTTTCATCATTTTATTGTCCTTTAATTTCCAGGAACAAACAAATCAATAATCTAATGTTTTTTGGACACAGTCCAGGATCAAAGATGGAGAAATGCTGACATAGGTTCTGGTATCTCCTGCAGGTCAGGTGTTCTTTTCCTTGCTGGAGGGTTGATAGTGTTGATCAATGACTCTGCGGCGGCTGTCAGACGGCAGAGGGAGCATCGGGAACCCTTCACAGTGGCTGTTGATAGCTTCCGCTGGTAATTCAGGCAGGCATGCTGAGGTGAGAGGATGCTGTCTGCCTACTCGCTGCTTCCTCTTCATTCTTCTCCTCTTACACACCAGGTAGATCATCTCAATTATATTAAGAAGCACAGAAATCCCAGAAACTACCAGCATAAAGATGATAAAGATTGTCTTCTCAGTTGGTCGAGAGATGTAACACTGGGCACCAGAGAAACGAGCACAAGGTGGAGAGATTTCACAGTGGAAGTAGGACACCATGAATACAGAACCAAGGATGTAGAACTGGGCCACACTAAAGCCCACCTCCAGGAGGATCTTGAAGACTAGCTGGCTCATGTAGGTGCAGAAGAGGATGCCTGTTATCCTCACCTTCCCTCTGACATCTGTGAACTTTGCTTTCTTCAGCTTCCCATCATGCTTTGCTTGGTCCATCATTCTTTTCTCCTTGTGAACCACGTGGATAGCGTGGCCCAGGTAGACCAGGGTGGGCGTGGACACTAAGACGATCTGCAGGACCCAGTAGTGAATGTAGGATATTGGGAACTTCCAGTTGTAGCAGCTGTGTTCACATCCTGGCTCCAGGGTGTCGCAGTAGAACTCGCTGACTTCATCCTCCCAGACGTTATCTGCAGCAGCCCCCAGCACAAAGATCCTGAAGATGAAGAGGACACTCATCCAGATCTTCCCCACCACTGTGGAATGGGCCTGGACTTTGTCCATCAGCAAAGACAGGTACGACCAGTCCCCCATGGTACTGACCTAAATGTATTAGCTGGGAGAGAATTGCAGAGGCATTAAACAAACAGCAGGAGGACGAGGAGAAAATAACAGAACTACATTTCCTGGTCTGAACCTCTTCAGGATGGTCGGTACCTGAAAACAAAATGGTCAGAGGCAGATTCATCTAGTTCTGATCTAGAGCTCAGCTATCAACCTGTGGATCACAAACTAACAGACATTTCATTTTCACACACAGGCTGTTCAGGAGGAGGTACTTCAGAGACCCGACCTCCCGGAACAACTCAGTTCAACCTCCTACATGTTATACCTACAATGCAGCGATAGAGTTGATTCCTTCCCCCATCATTGCAACCCAACCCCCTTTACAGGAGAACAGAAGACCTCACCTATTCAGCCAGGCCAACTATTCCCTCTAATGACCCCCCTTTCAGAGACATAGACAGGTAATGCAGTAATGCAGGCTAACTAAGAAGCCCAACGACCCCCATTCCTAAGGGATGGACCCGTTCATCCGTTTGAATTTGCATGTTTTCTAAACCAAAACAAGCCTTTCTTGGGCTGCTGGATAAAACCTGGAACTCAACGCTATTTCTGACTTTTTGAATTGAAAAACCTTCCTGGATGAAAAAGAAACGTCTTCAAACTTGGAAACAAAGTCCAGTGGATTGTTTTTTAACAAAGTACAAACAGTGTTTTTGTTCCCACAAGAAATACTCATTTGTAAACACGAAATATTAACTTGTTTCCATGAAATAACAGTTTGTTACCACAACTGTTATCTTCCTCAGTTAGTATTTTGTGGGAACAGATTAGTATTTTCTTTTTTGTCTCCCATGTCAGTTCTGGGGCTCTGTAGATTGCAGCAGAGAGGAATAATATCCAAATCTTAATGCTTTGGTTTTTGTTTTTGTTTTGTTTTGCTGGGCAGCTAAAGCAAGTCTTTCTTTTTTGGGTAGAAATGTTCAGCTTTAAATAACAGTTGTTTCTAGATTGTGAGAAAGAGGATACTTCTAAAATAAAGTCTTGAAAGCTGTTGAATATTTGTTACTGAAGCACCTTTGTGATTCTCCTTTCTTCTTTTCTTACTGCTTGCTGCTTATTATGTGTTTTTTTATATTTAAAGTGGTAATGAAATTTTGAATTAAAAGAGAACTGTTCTTTGTTTTTCTATACTATTTTATAAAGTGAAATTAGAAAAAAACACTAAAAACAAATGAACCAATCATATACAGATTATGTTGCAATCTAATTTGTATTTAAATGTTTTACTTTCAAAGAGTTACAGAAATGTATACTGCATCACCAGCTAGAACATAAATCTGATGTTATTATCAGCACATTAAATGGTCATTATTAGCATTATCAGATCCATAGAACGGCTTCAGGCTCAGTAGGTTGTTCACCAATTGAATGCTAACATTAAGGTCATTCCTTTTTGGCCCGACAAATTAACGAAGGAAAAAAAAAACTGGACATAATTTATTGTCGTTATGATGTCTTTCATGTGGCTCACATCAAACAAAAATCTAATATCCTGTCAACTGAGTTGTTTTAAACACCACATTAAATCTGTGTGACTGAAACATTTGGATTTCATTCAAAGTAAATCTAAATATTTAGTTTGCTACCTAAATAAACTAAATATTTAATTAACAACTTAATACTGGATTTGCAAACTAAATATTTATTTAACAAACTAAGTATTTAGTTTGGAAAATAAATATTTAGTTAAAATAATAAATATTTAGTTTGGAAAATAACTATTTAGTTAAAATAATAAATATTTAGTTTGGAAAATAACTATTTTGTTCAAATAAAATATTTAGTTTGGAAAATAAATATTTAGTTAAAATAATAAATATTTAGTTTGGAAAATAACTATTTAGTTAAAATAATAAATATTTAGTTTGGAAAATAAATATTTTGTTCAAATTAAATATTTAGTTTGGAAAATAAATATTTTGTTCAAATAAAATATTTAGTTTGGAAAATAAATATTTAGTTCAAATAATAAATATTTAGTTTGGAAAATAAATATTTAGTTAAAATAATAAATAATCAGTTTGGAAAATAATATTTTTGTTCAAATAAAATATTTAGTTTGGAAAATAAATATTTAGTTAAAATAATAAATATTTAGTTTGGAAAATAAATACAAATTTTAACAGACAATTTAAATATTTTGTTTGAAACGTCGAATTTTACAAATGAATGAATGACATAGTGAAAAAATGAGTTGCAAAAAATAAGCCCTTTATTTTTGTAAATAACCATTAATGTTGCTCCTAATTATTGAATGTGTAACTTTGCCAATGGCGCCCCATACATGTTGCTCACATCAAACAAACTAAAGACAAAAAAATCTCACATCCTGTCAACTGAAACATGAAGACTGTATTCAAAGTAAAGCTTTAAAACATGTTTTTTCTGCAGTCATCCTACATTTTAAATAAAGTAGATAAAAAGTAAATGTTAAATAAAACTCCTGGTTTCAGACGCAGAGGAAGTGGGTGTTGATAAGCTGCATATTGGCGGCCATTAGAGAAACCTACTCGACAGAAAAGGATGCACAGTCTGAAGCCATTCTATGGGACTGATAATGGTCACATCCAGTGAGTGATGGAAGGTCTGAGAGGTTTAATGTCTCGTTTCTTCCAGAGATCTTCCACATTACATGAACAACTTTGTTTTCTTTTTTGTGTGTGTGTTTTTCAGTGGGCCAAATCACGCATAATAAAAGTAAACTATCAGGAAATTGCTGCTGTAATCTTATTCTATTGATTCTAATAAGCCTTGTAACTTGCAATAATCCCATGTTTATAACAGGTGTAACACATCTGATGTTGTCCACAGTAGTCCTCAGTGGACCCATGGAGCTTTGTGTCCATGCACATGAAACGGAAGATTAGAGGGAACCTATCAGTCTAAATAAGAAAACATTTAAGGCTTTATTAATTCAACAGCAGAAGACAGAGAGAGATGAAAATGACAGACCTTGGTAAACAACAAACACAACATTTATTTTTACTACTTTTGTGGGAAGATAAATACTTAGCCCACAGAAAAATATATTTCTGTTAACATAATGGTTTGTTACATTTGTGGGAAATAGCGTCTATATTTGTATTACGTGGCAGCTATTTTAATTGTGAGAAAATATCAATTTGCGATTATGTTTCTAGTCTAACGCTACTCTCTCTACTGTCTACTTTTAAGGCTAGGCTTAAAACTTTCCTTTTTGATAAAGCTTATAGTTAGAGTGGCTCAGGTTATCCTGAGCTATCTCTATAGTTAT